AACACCTTCTCTCTTTTAAAAACTACTTGACTACTTTTAATTTGGACCGTCCTAGAAAAAAATCTTGCTTCCTAATGTCTTTCAGAACTTTCATGTGCACTAAGAACAAAGCATTGCTCCCACAAGCAGCAAGCTGCCACTCATCGACTCAAAAGCTTTTCAGAAGTTCCACAGTAATTTGGTTTTAAATTCACAGAAGCAAGTGGGTTCCACCAGATCAATACATTGGAAACTCATCAAAAAAGAGCTAATCATAAGCAATACTTAAACAAATGCCTGATTTTTATTGCCACATTTGCACTGTCGATATTCTCTGCATCATGTATTTCAGTAACACATTCATTGCAAGCTTTTACAGTCAACACAATGTAAGCAAGACAGGAAAATTTATCTGGACAGAAGGTACATGGAGATTCAAATTAAGAATAAGCATTTGTTTAAGTTTTCTCTAGCTACTCCAATCATTGGCTGGGAGCATTAAGGCATGTGAGCTTTGCTTTAAACATCATATTTTGTTCCTTATTTTAAATTTTTCTGTTATGAAAATGATAAACAACAGGATTTTGTACAAAGCAATATACACAGGTGTCACCCAGGCACAATCTGCTGTTCTATGACAGATTATCAATCTTCTTCCTACTACATGCACTGGCCAAAATGTGAAATAATAAAATGAAACACGAATGCGAGCACATATGGTGTCACAGATTTTGTTTACATAGCAAGTAGTGAGGTGAATTAGAACAGATTAGTAGATCAAACCACTTAATGCCAATGCTCTTTACCTCTTCCATTAGATGCTATTTGAGGTTTATTTTAGGCTAGACTTTGCCTTGTTCACTTCACCAAAAATGCAGCTCAAAGTTTGCCGGTGGAAAGCTACCTTACAGATCTTTGCTCCCTTGACTGACAGGACTTCTGGGAAGTGTCATTCCGTCCCTTTCACTGGTTTCCTGCAGATGATAACAGCATGTCACTTCACACATCGTTAGTAGATTCCACTACAGGGTTTCTATATCCCCCATCTTCCATTTCTCTGTTCACAGAATCAAAACATATGCCAGTGCCTTCTTGCCAAGAAGGGACAGGATCACTCATGAAGTCCTCTATGCCAATAACCAACACGAGAGAGGCTGCACATGTGCACTCTGACAACAGCGCAGCACAAGCCTACTTTAATTGTGCTTTTACTCAATGCATAATGGAACTGCAATCAACATCTGCTCATTTGAAAGACATTGGGCTATGGAGAACAGACACTGTTCAAATGTTTCTAATATTCTTCCAAATTCAGGGTATTACTTTTAGTCCGAACCAACAGTGAGGACATCTTCAAGATCTTTCTTCAGTCTAAAACACTGAGCACAGCTTCTGCAGTACCTCTATGTACAGTTCTCTGCTCTCTTTGTCATAGGTGGGGTATTCAGCAATGCACTTGTGTCAGGACATAGTATCTGCCCCTTCACTGAAAACAGTCATCAAGCCACTGAGCATCCAGGAGAACATGGACTAGGATGGGAGGAATACCACTGGACATCAATGTCTTGCAATCTGGCAAATGTTATGCTATGATTAGAAAAGAACTAACCCCCAATACGTCTCTCTGTTCTCAGTTTTTCCATCCTCCACACTTCTGTGCTTCGCACACTCCTATGCTTTATTCAATCCGAAAACCTGGCTAATTCAATTATGCCTGACTGCAGCCTGCCATGTCCTTCCCTTTACGACCTTTCCTGAGTGTGACTTGGGGCAGAGAAATAGATAATATATTGCCAACAACCACCACCTGCATTTCAAAGAAATGGTATCATCCTGCATTTGTTGTTCAAGCATCTGACTACAGGTCAGATACCTGAATAAAATATAACATGGTTAGAAGTACCGGTACCACTACCACCACTAGGTAGGTCCTTAACACACTGCATTTGAGACTGTGGCTGGGCTTTAGTGCAGAAACTGAGGAGGGCTGTGTAATCAAGGCATGCCATGTCCATGGATTATGTGGTTTCCAGGACTATGTCTGGTACACCGGCAGAGCTAGGATGGGGCAAGTGGTCTCTCATGAGCTTGTTGCTCCACAGAACTTCTAACATGTAACAGCCCCCCAGAAATCATTTCTCAAGGCACAGCAGCTTTCACAGGCAATCCAGACTCATGCTGCCTTCCCACAGCTCTGCGACCAGTGAATTCAATCAGAAACCTCCCAAGCACAGTCCATACATGTACAGGAAAGGAGGACACATACCTGCTTACATGGGCATCTGGACCATGGCCTATTGCCTGCTGAGGCAGAGGGGATGTCCCTGTATGTTGTCTCCCAGGGGTCCTCTGGGGGTTGCAGGCACATATCATAGAAGTACAGAATCATAGAATGGCCTGGGTCAGAAGAGACCTTAAAGTTCCAACCCCCCTGCCATGGGGTCATGCAGAGCTCCATCCAAACTGGCCTTCAATACTTCCAGGAATGGGGCATCCACATACAGACATGTATAGCACTTTAGGCACACTCTTCCCTGGACTTTTCTCACACACTGTTGGCCCTGGAACTAAGGGTGTTGATGTTCTCACAATCAGTGGGCTTGGTGGAGTACTCCCCCCCTCCACCGAAGACCTATTCAAGATGTCTATGGTAGGGGCACACACACCATGCCACATCAGAAGAATGTTTTTTCCATCTCATCAAGAACATGATCTTCATCTAATGGAACTTAATGCAGCACTACTTGTCAGCCCTGTCACATCCTGCAGCAGGCTTGAAATTAGTAACAGGGCAGTGTAACAGGGTGCTGGAGAAGTTTTTGGGTCTTTCAGAGCACATGTCATTGCCCCTTGCTCAGTATTCTGGGACACCAATGCAATGCCTGTCGCTAAAGCCTGTCACAGCAGCAGGAAAGAGCAGTAATAGCAAAAGAAATAGGGCTGGTGAAGAGGACAGATGCAAAAGCTTGTGAGAACTACAGGAGCAGTTCAAAGTCAGAACAAGCAGACATCTGGCAGTCAGTAAATATGAAGTCTCCCATCACATTTGGCCCTTTTGCACAGCAGAGAAGCACTTCAGAATAAGGTTTGAGCACTCAACTGTTTAAAAGCTTCCCATTGGCACATGTGCTTTTCTTTTGTCCTAGAAAACTTCACTCCACAGCAGTGCAGTCCCACTCATTGGATCCTACCATTTGATCCTAAGCAGCAAAACTTGTGTCTTAGCTTTCTCTGTAAAGATGGCATTCATATGACTAAAACCCCTCTGTTAATCAAATCAATAAGCAAGGACAATTGGAGGACTTATTTCAGAACTGTACTGCTGCTGTGATTTGAAATATCATGTAGACACATCCCTAATGACCATTGCTTTTCTGGACTTGAGGATTCTTGACCCTCTTCAAGAGGTGTCTTCTGCTTGCGAAAATCTCACTTATAATTTTTGCAAAGACATTGAATTTCGAGCAGTAAAGTGTACTTCTAACTTCCAAAACAGGATGCAGCAAGCCATAGTCAGTTCTGTAGTCTCTGATGCACAGCAGCGTTCAAATAATTTGAAGGGAATCTCACCATATTACAACTGTCCATGCCTTTTCAGTATCCAGGATTCAGAAACATATCTACTCAAAATTCAGGAACGACCCCAGCACCAGCTGCCCACCAACAGAAGTGCGTAAGTTCATTACAGTGAAGCACAACTCAACCAATACCGATTTAACTGGTTGTGCAAAGATTGAAGGATTCTTTTGACATTGCTTGTTTCTGTAAACACTAACAACCCATTTTTGTTCTAGTACGGTTATCTTCACTTCTACAGTGTAATAACAGGAAAATGGAGAAAGTTTGCTTGTAATAAATATTTTCTTAAGCAGAACTTCTGCACATATGATAAAACAGTATGTTTCTGCCGTGTCATGCTGACTCCCCTGCTCCAGAAGGACTGGGTACAGATGGTGCTCTAATAATTGCTATATTTACATTGTCATCAAAGCTTATTTCACGCCCTCAGTATCCAGTACATTCACTATACTTCTGCAGTTCTTGTATGATCTGAGTTATCGTTGTATTTCCCTTAATGATTCACATGTTTCTAGCTATCACTACAAACCAACAAAGGTGATCAGCATGCCATGATGGCATATCTAAACCAACTTCTGCCTCTGGGACCACTGAAAAAGACAAAGCAATTACTAGGTGGGCATCATGCCCACAGTGTTGTCGGAGAAGCTGGGATATACCCAGAAATCCTAATGTCAAGTGGATGCAAACAACCAAGTTTCAGCACGCTTAAGAGCTAACAATGTCAGTGCTTTTACATAAAATGTCTTTCACTATCACTGATGGATACTGGACACTCCCTGAAGAATAAAGAAGATGGTTCAAGCAACACTGTATCTTCCTGCCTCATGATCAGAGAGACAATCAACAATAACTCCTGAAAAAATAACAGTGTAAGGCAGCATGATTGCTATTTTGAACACCAAAGTTAGGATGCAACAGACCACTCAGACTAGTCTCCTCTCCACCCCACTGAGTTTCATCCCACAAGGAAAAGGATGGCGACTTGAATGTCATCTCAGTCTTGGTTTCGGTTGCTTTGAGTGGTTGAGGGAGAAGAGAAGAGACAAGTCTCCTTCGAAGTTCTAGTTCCAGCCATGGAGCTCTCAATGCATCCAACTCAGATCCAGTTTTTCATTTCAAGACATGCAAAACACATGGTAGTCTAATCAACAACACTGGTATACTCCGTTTTCTGCCATTTCTAGGTCTGTTGTTTCGGAATTCCTTGCCCCACTGACTATTACCCTTCACACAGCTGAAGTAGACAAGCTTGAAGGACAGTGAAATAGGTTTTCCTTAAAAATTACTGTAATAGACAGGAGAGTATGAACACTGAAGATATACACACAATTCAAACATCTATAGCATGAAGAACAGACAAGCATAAATGGGATCACCTGGATCATCAGCTGGAGGAGATGCTGCCTTTTCCAAGGCTGATTTTTTAGAATGGTTCATACCTCATACAAAACTGTAGTATTCCCATGAAGGAGAGGTCCATAGCAAATATAGGAATGACCAACAACCCAGCCTAAATCAGAAGCTGCCCACCACACCTAAAATGAAATAAAAACATAATTAGAGTGAGAAGTTTTAAGAGGCATTCAAACACATTTACATGACATTTAAGTGGAATTACCTCACCAGGTGTGAGTCCGTATACAGCTGACATTGTCCAGTTTAGCATAACTGCATAGCCACCTGTTGGTCTGACAACACCCTAAATGAGAAAATTTGAGTATTTAATTTGAGTCTTCAATTACATGTTGAGGTTTTACCAGCAATAGACTTAAGGTTGTCTAATTCCAATACTCCTAAAGAAAAGGATCTATTCCAAAAAGAACGTGTGTGTACTAGCACTTCCACAAAAGAAGTAATTTTGGAAAACAAACAAACATACAATAAAAAACCAAAAACACAACCCAAGGCCTAGATGACAATAGTTTTCAGAGGATTACTAACAAATCTAGAATTCTCTCATAAAAACTGGATATACAAATATTTAGTCAACATATGCTGACAAAAAATAAGAGATTGATTATTTACCTCACACTGTGCCATCTAAATGTTAGGCATGTTTTAAATTCATTGCCTAGTCTCTCTGTATCATCACTGGATAGGAGGGGCACCTGTGAAGTGGACAATCCCTGAAACAACTGGAGTGAATTACTCCCTGAAATGTACCCATCTTTCTGCACTGACTTTTTGTAAAGACATCGGAAACTTGGCTTAAATAAATGTATATTTTTGAAAGTTTATATCTGGCCTGAAGTGCACATAAAAATGCAAAATGAAGAACATCCCAGTGTTCACCTAAAAGAGGGAAAATTAGAATGAGAGAGTATCAATAGCATTATGCACCTTGGTAAACCAATAATCAGCTCTGGAAGACTAATTATAGGAAAATTTTGGAAATATTCTGCAATATAAGTATGGTTACTATAGATTTCATATATTTCACCTTCTAGTACCCTGTTCCTAGAGGAAAGAATTAAGTAAACTATGTCCTGGTGTCCTGAACTAAAATTCAGATGAACTAAAATTCAAATATCCTCTGCACAGACATTACAATGCAGCAATCTGTCCATGCTAGGCATGGTACATTTTCTTGATGTACTTCATAGAATGGAAGAGAGACTTTCAGATCTCATCCAAGAGACGAGGGACTGTAGAGACACATTAACTCATTAAAATGGAGATTGCTAAGGGAGAGAATGGTTAACTAACATTTCGCCATTTTCAGACAGCAGATTGCCTTTGTTAGACTCAGCTTCTAACTTAGCTCCTGCTCTGAGATTAACAACAGTTTTGCTATGAAGGTCATAACTGAGTAATTTTAGTTGCGTGAGCATTCAAACTAAGTTCCTTAAACAAATAAAAAAGTTATTTTATTCACTGAGTTACTTATTGTAGCTTAGTTAGTGCTAGTTGACAATCTCCCTCTTATAAGGGTGATTCACTCAAGATGTCTACATTTTTCTCTGCAGAGCCAACAGAGTGAAGTAAACTTCTGAGAACTTTCATCTCTGAGATACTATATTGAAACTCACAGTCAAGGAAAATTCTTGTAGTAACAAAGGATCTTATCTTGGGATTTTTGACAATAAAATAATTCAAGATAAATGTATTGCTTTAAAGGGCCCATCTTGAAGGTAAAAGCAGAAGACAATTTTCTCAGCGAAACTGATACTTGTTTTCCCTTACATCCTCATAGATTCTGAACTTTATAGGCAACATGATTAAATAATTTTCTAGTAGTAGTCTAAGCACTGTCATATCCAGGGATATATGATACTGTCTGAACCTGTGGTTGTAAGCCTAGCAACAGAAAATTATATTCAGCTTGTCTTCCACACACTGTAAAAGAGCATTATAAGTACCAAGCAAACATTCAGACAGCCCTCTTTTAAAATACAATCCTTTAAAAATAGGTCATTAAAACTAATTTACATTCAAAAGCAAACATTTTCAAATACTCTATGTTAATTTTCACTTACTCAATCTAAACTTTTCTTTTCGGGGGAATTATGTTCTCAGAATTGTTCAGTAACACAAGTTTTCAGAATATGCTTAAACCTATTTAATCTGTAACATCATTCACCATGTCTTATCTGCAGGAAAATTAGCTAATATGTAAATAATGAACAAGACTAGTCAGCAATACATACCATCACACAGGTGATATATTAACAAATCTTGCCATTAAGTCACTATACCACACTTATCTAAAACAGTTAAAACACAGAAGATAGTACTGGATAAAAGACATTCTGCTGTCCTCAAAAGTTTCTATTGTACAAATATCTTGAAGCAAATGCATCTTAGCTTTATATTACTACTATTTAAATAAACAAACATGATTTATTCCTATACATTGCCTTTAAAGTAGTGAAATGTGAATAAATAAGATTAAGCCATTTCTAGCAATGCTTATCATTTACAGCATTGTGCTCTGGCAAACATTTTAAACCTTTTTTATTAAATATTTTCTCAAGTGGAACTGCAAATAGATTGGTCACAGACATGTAGACTTCAGATAGTTCTTTACCTTGGGCAAGCCTGTTGTTCCAGATGTATACAGAATATAAAGTGGATGGTCTGAGGGAACTGAGACACATTTAGAACACTGTGCTTTTGCAAGCTCTTCTTCCCAGTCAAGATCACGACCTCGAGTAAGAGGAACGTGGCCCTGCCCATTGAAAAATAAGAAAATTGTTAAAAGAAAAACAGACAGAATAAATGGAATTTGGTCAAATTCCATTCCAAATGGAATATTCAAATTTTCTACATAGTACTATTCAATTTTCTGTACAGTAATCTCTCTGATGCATTAGTTCTATTTACTATTTAAATCTTACAAATAAAATGTTTGCCTTTAAAATTAAAAACCAAACTACAATAGATACAGTAAAATTTTACCTGTAAAAAAGAAAAGGCACATGCACTACATAAACATCTGAAAGTTAACATAAAGTCAGAACAAGTGTACACCCACCAAATTAGGTCGCTTGTAAATGAGAACTTTATCAGGTTTGCTCTGTGTCCTTGCCAGTGCTCCTTCTAGGAGGGATATGTATTCCACTTTTCTTTTCGGTTCTACTCCAAAACTAGCTGTTACAATAAATTTGGGCTAAAAAAAAAAAGTTAGATTGTTAATATATACATTTGCAATATATTTTAGATAAGTAACCACATAACATGTTTTCTGTTAAATTATTTGATTAATGATGTTCAAAGTATAAAATTTACCTTCACATAACTAGAAACAGGGGTTTAGATCAGTTTTCTAAAGGAAATCAAGCTTGTGTGATCTTGCTGTCCATTCATGTGCTTTTTGCTCGGAAGCACACTAATAACTTCAGACACTCTTCACTATCTTCAAACAAATTTGAGTAAGAAATCAACAGTATTAACTTCTTCTAAGTTGCACAAATATTAATGAACACAGAGAGAAAAACCCAGGTCCATCTTAGCTCCTCCGTTAAGGAAGAGCAGTACAGCGATGTCAACAATTATCAGTCCTGTTTAGCCTGCTTTCTATTGCCTCCAATTGCATATTTCAAAACTAGCTATAGCACTTTGCTGGCTCTTTCCCAGCCTGCAATTAAATGGTATAGGAGGAAAAACAGGAGAAAGAGGGAAAAGAAGGCAAACGAGAGGGCAGGAAACTAGAAACTGAGGAAGAGAATAAGCTAAAGTCTTTCAAGTAATGATTGCAGGACAGAGGATGCCACACCAGCAAAAATCAGATTTCTGTAATTCTGGGGTTTTTTAGAATAATTTCTATTTCCAGATGAGGACTTCACAACTTTGTCATTAAATTAACTGCATATTTTATGTAAGATTTCCTAAGTCAAGAAATACGCATGCAAGCTACTTTGACTTAGGTCCTAAGATCAGTATTTTTATTTCTTGTTTTTTTGGGAAAGAAAAGGTGCCACCAAAAAAAGTATGCGTTAGAATACATTTTAATTGGAAAAGAATGAATCTTCAATTTCCTTCCTTCTGGAGTTTCAGAAGTGTATTTATCTTACGCCCCTCAGTTTGATCAAGCTAGTTTACTAATTGTATGCATTAGCATAAATCTCATTAAGTAGGCACAAACCACAATGCCACAGTTAAAGCTGCATTAAATTCAGCAGAGAAAACACAGATTAAATTGTTTTCTTGTGCAATAATAAAATGCTTCCTGTCCAAATCTTCCATTCAGAGAAGTTCCCTAATTGGTGTGTATTCAAATAAAGATTTCAGATGAGCTTTAAAATTTCAGCATTTGTCAACTTTCTCTTTTGGGCTGTAGTGATTTAATAAAAGATGATACAATACAAAGCAGTTAAACTGAAAATTCATCTGGAGGCTACCCTGAAATTAAGACTGTAATAAATGTAAGATACACAATTCTATTAAATTGTTAAGATGAAAGACTGCTGTCAGCACTAGTTGTACAGTCATTTGTAAATGATGCCACCTCTGCTCATCAACTCCTTTGTATGCAGTAAGGACATCTAAAAATAACCAATACTAAATTGGCTAAGGTGATGTATTACCCAAGTGAAGAAGCATCATGGATCGCTGTGCAAATTAAAGGCTCGCTACTGGTTCTAACTGTTTTCTACTGTTTTACCTCTCTGCGTACTGACATTATTTCCCCTGCACTTTTACTCCCATATTGCTTTTATACACCCGTTTCCCACCTCTTCTGTGGTTCCATGTAGTTCTGCATGGTAAGATTAGACAGAAATATAACTAGTTTGAAGGAAAACCAGGAGAGTTCAAGGGTCTGCTAGAGAAGAAATGTCAGAGATAGTGAGCTATAGAAAAAAAACCATTACGAAACAGAAATGAGATAAAGCAAGGCCCAATAGTACAAGTTGTTGGTACAAGACCAATACTTTTATTCTGTTGTAAAGACTCCTCCTACAAATTCTTCTATAGTCTCTAATAGCATACAAGGCATAGCTCAGTAAAAGCAATAAAGATTGACACTCCTGAAGGATGGGATGCCACCCAGAGGGACAAGGACAAGGAGTGGGCCCATGACAACCTAATGACATTCAACAAGGCCAAGTGCAAGGTCCTCCACCTGCGTCAGGGCAACCTCTGCAAAATCGATGCACCCTGGGGGATGAAGGGATCAAGAGCAGCCCTATTGAGAAGGACTTGGTGACACTGGTGGATGAAAAGCTGGATATGAACTGGCAATGGGTGCTCATAGCCCAGAAAGCCAATTTTACACTGGGCTGCATCACAGGCAGCGTGGCCATTAGGTCAAGCGAGGTGATTCTGCCCTCCACTCTGCTCTGGTGAGACCCCATTAGGAGTACTACATCCAGCTCTGAGGTCCTCAGTGCAGGAAAGACATGGATCTGTACGAGTAGGTCCAGAGGATGGCCATGAAGGTGATCAGAAGGGCAGAGCCCCTCTATGCTATGAGGAAAGTTTAGAGTTGGAGTTATTCAGCCTGAAGAAGAGAAGGCTCTGGGGTAACCTCATTGTGGCATTTCAGTACCTAAAGGGGGCTTATAAGAAAGATGGAGACAAACTTCCTAGCAGGGCCTGTTGCAGTGGGACCAGGGGTAATGGTTTTAAACTGAGAGGCTAGATTTATACAAGATTTAAGGAAGAAACTTTTTACAATGATGGTGGTAAAACACTGGCCCAGGTTGCCCAGAGACGTGTTAGATGCCCCACCCCCAGGAACATTCATGGTCAGGTTTGACAGAGCTCTGAGCAACCTGATCTGGTTGAAGATGTCCCTGCCCACTGCATAGGAGTTGGACTAGATGACCTTCCAGCCCAAACTGTTCTATGATTCTATGAACCTACCTATTGCTTTGATATTACAAATTATATATTCCCAGATTCAGGTAAAAGATGACAAAAAATTCTGTTCTCATGATCTGTATCACTTCATCAAAATTCAGTGAAGAATACCTGTAACTGCCAATACCTGACATGAGTAGAAATTACCAGCTGCAGGACTTTGCAGAATTCCCTATTTTAAATTCAAGATAAATTAAGGTAAAATAGTAACGTGTATGTACCTTTTCATAGTCACTAGAAAGTTCTTGTTATTTCTTTCACTCAGGTCTTCTAAGAGAATGTGAAATTTGACTTTTTTTTCCACAAAAGCATCTAACAGCCAGATTTCCATTGTACATTCTTAACTCTTTCTACTTAATCTCACCAACATCAGGTCCTGTATTGCAGCATCTAAACCAATTCACATAAAAGCCTAATAAAAAGGTTAGGTTATTTTGAGACTGCTTTAATTAACTTCTGAGTTCAGAAGAATACCATCTATCACAGGTACTTATATACAAATCCTAAACATAAAGTCAGTAGCGTGCAATTCACTTACGATGAAAGTTTTACCATGTTGCAAAATTGGGACATGTTTTGAAATTCAGAATGAGGATGTGCCTCCCCTCTTTACTCACATTTTCATTATGCATCAGATGGACCAAAAATCATCCATAATACTTATATCTGCCTTTTAAAGAAACCAAAAGCAATGTAAATTAGGATTTAATCCATGGCCTGCAGCTAGTAATTCTACAGCTAACCCTTCAAAAGAGTTGCTATGTGACCTCCGGTAAAACATTTACACTTTCTCCATTTTCATTTTAATACATGAAGCAAGGATTATGATTACTGTGCTGTCTCCCTCTGTTCCCCAGAGAGAAACCACTGGGATTAATTAGGTAATAATTGCAAAATACTCTAAGAGTAAACATGCTAGATGATTTGTATTATAGCAACCTCCATTTTTAAAGTTTATCATTTTTCTTTTACATTATTTTTCCCTAATTCTGTGAGTTAACATTACTTTTTATAGCTTGTTAAAAAAGTGGGGAAGTGGGAAGAAAGACAGGGAAAACTAGAGTTGTTGTTAGCCTTTTTTTTTACCATTCCAGCCAACCATTTTAGCCATTTTATTAACTTTGTTAAAGCACTAAAGAGAGGAGGGGAAATGCATTCAACTTTTTATTTACAGATATTTACAAAATTCAAACTTCGGTCATCTGAAAAGCACTTCTGTACACAGAAATCTAAGTAAGTCCACAAGTCCTGTGGACTTTACCCTGTACAATGTCCTGTCTAAGCAACATGATTAGTGATAGATTCACAGATAGTCTGAATGATCCAGGTGACTGATCAAGATGAAAAGGACTTAGTCTTATTCATGAGCAGAACATAAGAACAGACCATTCCAGTTGAAACTAATGCATACATAAGCTACTAAGTAGATTAGTAAAGTACTATTTGCATTTTCAGTAACACAGACTTACATAACCCCTCATAAACAAGATCAATTTATGCCGAACGCAGAAGCCTTTAAAGCATTGAGCTCTGCTAATTATGTTCTCCGCAGAGTCATTTATTTAAGGCAACTGGTTCCATAGCTGCCCTGATTCATGTAGAAATTAAATGAAGTAGAATTATAGCTTGTCCTGGTTCCAGCAATGACAGGGTTAATTTTTGCAGTAACCAAGAGAGGCACAGCCCGGACTCTGAGGTTATTCTATACCACCTCATGCCATACACAGGGTGGGGAGGGGGATGGGTTCCTTCCAGGTAGGTGGCAGAGGGAGTGGTTGGGCAGCGCCAGTTGTGCATGGGGAGAATTTGCATGTGAATCATTTGCCTTCCTTGTACACTCTTATTAATATTGTTGCTGTTACTGTTTGGTTTTTTATCTCATTGCTGTTTCCAGTAAATCATTATTATCTCAACCTGTGATCTTCACCTTTCCTGCCTCCAATTCTCCTCTCCATCCTGTCGCAGAGGGAGACGGAGGGGAAAGGGGAGTGAGCGAGCAGTGCGCAATTTGAAACATTTCAGTGGGAACACTAACTTGGGGAATACCATTCCTAAACTACAACATAGCTGAAAAAATGTACTACCTAACATGTCTAAACATCAAATAAACCAATGAAATTATTTAGGGTTGGTAGCATTTTTCTCACACACTTGATGAAAATGCTGGACATAAAGCCAGTGTTAAGGCGATGCTTTGTAGGAAAAGATTGACCAATGGGAGAAGAAAGTATGCTCTAAACAGACAGTAGTGTTTTAAACTCATGCTTTTTTAAAAGGGGTGAAAATTCATATGTCAATGTCTGTTATACAAGTATTAGCCTCAGCAGAGATGTAGTACTGTGTTCATATTGCAACATTACACATTATACACAAATTGAGACTGCGTGCCACACAAAGAAAAATGTTACCCTCTCTGGAAAAAAAACAAAAGCAACAAGCTTGTTATATTGACTTATACTAGTAACTAATGCAATGGTGTTTATCACTCCAAATAGGTGTAGTGGGTTGACCTTGGCTAGATGGCAGGTGCCCACAAAAGCCGCTCTATCACTCCCCTTCCCAGCCGGACAAGGGAGAGAGAGTAAGATGGAAAATGACTTGTAGGTTGAGACAAGGCAGTTTACTAAAGAAAAAGTGAAAGTTTGTGTGCACACACAAAGAGGAAAATAACAAGGTTTACTCTTTACTTCCCATTAGCAAGAGATGTCTGGCCACTTCCCGGGCATCAGGGCTTCAGCACATGTAAGTGGTCCTCAGAAGGCAAACAAAAACAACAAATGCTCTCCCTTTCTCCTCCTTCCCTTAGCTCTTATATCTGAGCTGATGGTATGGAATATCTCTTTGGTTAATTTGGGTCTGCTGGCCTGGTTGTGTTCCCTCCCAGGATCTTGCCCTCAATCGGGGATGGGGGGAGGAATGCTGAGAGATAGAGCTGGTGCTGTGCCAGCGCTGCTCAGCAGTAGCAAGTGATAACACCAGTGTGTTATCAACCCCTTTTAGGTACCAATGCAAAGCACAGCACTGTGAGGGCTGCTATGGGAAAATGAACTCCAGCTCAGCCAGACTCGATACAATCTGTTATTACCTTTGCATGATCAATGCGAACAGAAAGCTCTTTAGATGCAAATCCACCAAAAATCAGGCTATGGATGGCTCCTATTCTTGCACAAGCCAGCATGCAGTACACTGTCTGTGGAATCATGGGCATGTAGATGACCACACGATCTCCTTTCTTCACACCATGTCTGATCATGACATCAGCTAACTTGGAGACCTGTAATGACAAAACACTCACAACATATTAAAAGTTTCTCCAGATCTACTGGTGCCCCATATGTAAACAACTTTTACACAGTCAACAGATGCAGGACATTAAGGAGAAAAGACTGTATGATACGGAAAGCTGATGAACAATGCAATCGAGGTTCAATAAATTTAAGACAATTTCCTTTTTGCAAAAAAACCTCTCTGTAATACATTTTTTTTTCCATAAATTAAAAATGGAATGAGGCTAATTATTGTACTTATTATAGCAAAAAACAAAATCAATAGTAACGTTTTGCAAATTTTAAAGCAGGGCATTTCATAGTGCAAATTCTGTCCTAGCAGTAAAGTTTGAAACAGAAATCAATATGTAGTAATATTTTTGCTATTACAGTGTCAGAAACTTCTCATAATCTGAGACAAGAAATCTTACAACCTGAACCAAAAGTAAATACAAATTCAGAGAAACGTGTTTAGATTTAAAAGGCTATTTTTGCTCTCATTTTCAGATTTTCATTTTTGCTGTGCAGAAACCTGAAGACAGACTATGTACAGCAGCAAAGAATTGGAACTCAAGAAATGTGATAGACAGATCAGCAGCAATGTCTCTGAAACACCATGAGAAAACATTTATTGACAGTACATAATATTCTGTCACAAAAGTAGTATTGAAAATTTCATTAGTATGCCAGGATCGACTACTTACTTCTGTTAGAGTGAGCATGGGAGCCTGTGACAAGCACTGTGCACTTGTTCCCACCTACTTGTTGTGGTACGGAAATGTGGCATCTTCTCAAGGAAAAGCAAATTACTAACTCCCTAAGAGCAACTGAATGAACTCACCCATCAGAGTTTTTCTTGAGTTCCAGAGGCTGACAGCTGTGTAATACTCAGTACCTAATCCTGCTCACTGCCTTTCAATTCTTCAATTAGACATCCATGTGTAGAGGTGTAACTGTGCACAACACACAGGCTAAGAGAGGTTAACAGGAAAAACTGTAGACTAAGAAGAAACCAAGTAGACTAATAAACTTATTGAGAACAGGATGGAAGGAGAAAATCCCCAGGAAGTTGCGAGCTGGAATACTCCATAAACATTGTTACATGTCAATAAAAGGACAGGAGTTTTGCTTGCGCTAGTTTTACATTAATTATAAGACATTCTCTAGGAAGTTCTTGGGCTAAGTGAAGACAAATCTAAGTTCAGAACAAAGGAGTTGCTCTGCCTTACAGGGGAACTCTTCTTACCTATCGTAGTAAAACTATTCTTTAAGAGTTTGCCAATTAGAAAATACTACAATAAACATAAGAAGTTTAAAGGTTTTAATTTCTTTTACGATCAATGCAACATAAATCTACTCATGCATAAATTCCTCAAATCTTACCCGTACGGCATTAGTCCTCATTTATTCACATAGACAAGGTTTCAAGTAAAATTTAGTCTTGTAAGAGACTCTCTTCTTCAGGTACTATCAGAAAAAAAAAAAGGAAAGAGGAGACAAACTCCTGAGAGCAGCAGTGGGATCTTGCCTGTGGAATAAAAACCATTCAAGGTTCTGAAGCAGTAAGAATGTTTTTAGTGACCCAGCAAATAACGTAAGCAATGGGGGCAGCCTAAGCAAATAATACACATGCAAGCAGCACAGAAGGGAAGGAACCTCTTTTTCAAGGATGAGCTAGTCAGGAGGGTAGATTTTCTTTGTCATTTATATTATTTAAAAATTTGAGTTTTCTCTATTTAAAGAGTAGAGAGTAGTAGTCCTAGAACTGTATATGATACATACACTGAAGAGGATAATTGCTCTCTGCTTCTGTCTTCTGTGGAAACCTATATTCAGACTTTCAGTAACATGAGACAGTAACATCCAGAAGCTCCAGATGCATCTGCTCTGTCATTGCATTAATTCACAGCATATCCACAATCAAACTATGCATATTTCTACACTTCTGCCTGAGGATTGAAAAAATGGAAGCACAGAAGCCTCAAGCATGCACTTTTGCATCAGAAGATAACTGCATAAGTTCCATTTTCTATAAACACTGCAAAAATCCCTGCTGCTATTTTCAACCACAGAGAGAGTATGTTTATAAGGCTGTCATCACCATACCATTTCTAGCTAGAATTGGTGAAAGTAATTGTAAGTAAAGCTAACAACTCTACTTCCAAAGGTAAATTAGTTTTCTATACCTCCTACAGTGAAAAAATTAAAATCTGCAAACTTATTGTAACACAGAGTTAACATCACCTTCTCACAAAGAAATGAGAAAACTAATCATCATCCTTCCTGCTTGTGAGACTCAGAGTATTGACAAAAAGGCCAGAGGCAATGAAAACAATATCAAATGAGTATTTTTATAGTCAGTGTTAAGTGTGTGTAGTGTAACAATAAAATGTTAAGCACAATGGACAAGTATTATTATTGTTTACTATATTTATTTCATAAATAATTATTAATGATTATTAAAAAGGCAATGTTTGCCTGCTAAAGGAAACAGCATAATTTAAACATCACCATTAGTAATTTTGTAATAGAAGACTCCCAGTGCTTGTATACAAGCTCTATGACTTTGGTTTTGGTAGTAGGAGGGAGACAGTGAAGAGATCTGCATGTACTGCAGTTATTTTTAGTGAAACCTAACAGAGGTAAATTGTATTTAAAGCCAAACATGTGCAGCATGCTGTAGACAGGAACCACATGTCAGCTGTGCAAATCCAGTAAGCACTTGTCTGCACTTAACCTCCCCACCCCTAGAGAGTTTAATGTCACTGAAGACAATAATCCAATACAATATATGGGCGTTTATGATTTTCCTTGTGCCCTTTCCCTCATCCTTCTGATAGCCAGGAAACATTTGGACAATATAATAAAACAGTGTCTCTATCTGCAACTACTTGGAAGATGAGAGAACATTTGAAAGCAGGTTTACATTGCCCTACAGATTGATGTGGTAGCCCTGAAACATTCAAGCAATCGCTTTCTAAAAAGAAGGGGATTGGGGAACCATGAGTATTGACATTTCATTAAATTGTTAAAAGCCATGAAATCTTCCACTTTCTTTGCTTTGCCATTTATGGTTTACATTAAGACAGTGTAGTATACTTTATCACTCAAAAACTAACACGCTATTTCTCCACTTTTCTTCCATTTTAAGATTGCTCTATCACTTTAATATATTTGACACTTCAGTAATAAAATCACTTGAGACCAAGTGATATAATAAGAAACTCAAGTAAGCTTTCAGCTCTGAAGATTGGGGCATAAATTACACTTCCATTAAATGCAAGTCCCCAGTGAACATGGTTTTACTTTTACACAGCCACCAAACAAATACTACAGCTATATTAGCAGCTCAGGTTTGCAAGTAACGCAGTTCTGAAGTAAATCCCTAGTAGTTATTGCAAGCGGTTTTGGTCCACGCCAAAAGAATTCTTCCTAGAAGATCCTAAACCAGAAATCCCACTCAAAATGCTCAAAAGAGGAATTTCAAACTTACTGGCTTGAACACTGACTAGGTCTCACAAGTATGGAATCCTTCAATGCAAGCTAAACAGAAAAGGATTATTCAAAAAACGAGAGCTCCTGAAATATCCTGAACTGCATCTCATGGGCTAAAAAGAGCCATGTCACATATGCATTCTCTAAACCAGAGGCAGAGAGTCACCTTATGCTCTTCAGCTTATCCACCGTATTCTTCTTCCGAGACTACTAAACAAAGTGCTCCTTCCTACTCCCCCCCACTCCTTGATCAGCCTCTTCACTGTTCTATTACTCTTCTTAATTACTGTTTGCTCCTTTTCCTACTGCTGTAAAAGCTTCTCCAGCAGATGTACCACCCTGTTGCTAATATCAAGCCTGCTGCAGAGTGGGAGAGGACTGACAAGTGGTTCTGCATTAATTTCAATTAGATGAATACCATGTTCTTGATGAGGTGGCAAAACCATGTTTCAGAGGTTAGTGAAACCATGGTTTCAGGTGGTGTGTGTGCTGCCAGCATGGGTATCTTGAACAGATCTTCAGGGGAGGAGAGAGCACTCCACTAATCCCTTGGACATCTACACCCTTGGTCCCAGGATCAGTAGTCCTGGGACACAGTTTAGGGAAAAGTATGCCTTTGAGAGCTGCTATACCTTGAGAAACAATTTCCCAGGGGCCGTGAAGGAACGAGCTCTGTCAGAGACCACCTGCCCCATCCTAGCTCTGCAGGTGTACCAGGCATAGTCCCAGAAACCACATAATCCATGGATGTGGCATGCCTTGATCACATAGCCCTACTCAGCTTCTGCACAAAAGCCCAGCCACAGTCTCAAATGCAGTACATAAAGAACCTTTGGTGGTAGCGACGCAGGTACAGTCCTCCACAAGGAACAAGAAAAAACCTAAATCAGGATGATTTCTACTTCTTTCTATTACAGTCAGACAGCCACTCAGATTGCAGTTAGTTGCAGTAATTTCTCCTTCCATCTTTCAGATATCAAGAAGTTCTTTGGATCAAGAGGAAGTTGGGGATATTGGGAAGAACCATTTTTCTTTCTGGTTTGGGAGAACAGCTGTATGCTGTAGGGGACTACTTCTTAGTCCCCTAAGAAGGGACTGGGATGAGATATGGATTCCATAATACTTATCAGCTTTGTGTGGATTTAATGTTTGATTAGAAGGGATGCCATGGCATTCATTCCACAGAAGATATGGGATGCAGACAATCGTTAACCTTAAAAGGAACTTCTAGTCCATGTGAAGGATAGTCTCTAGTGTTCTGCACAGCTCCTACAGCATTCATGTTCCCCTAAAAGGCATTATTTGGACAACACGCACTCAGACTGGAGAGAGAAATCAAGCAGCAGAGAGACAGATGAAGGGTGAGCATGGCATTCCTAAAGGAATACACAAGTCAAGAAAGCAATGATTCATGGGATAGCTTTGAAGTGAGTTATGGGACATTCAATTCAAAGCATGAAACTAGACCCAGTCCAAAGTAAAACTCACAAACTACATATAGTGGAAGCATCAG